AAGGTGCAATTAGCGTCATTACAAAAGGAATAAATGCGTGTAATCAGTGTCAAGAACTTAAAAAAAATTCGGAAAGCCTTCAGCCTTGCCACTGTCCTGAACACGACAAAATAAATGATCTTCAGAAGAAACAAGGGGAAATTGCCAAGCAAAATGAAAATCCTAAAAAGCTATTAGATAACCTCTGTCTCGGTTTAGAAAAGTTTTTAGGATTCAACCCTGATTCCAAAGGCTACGATGGCACTGGCATCGTGTACTCAGACCTTGACAGGCTGTGCGACGGGGTGATGGCGTTCTTGCACGGGGTGCTTAGTGGAGTGAAGGGTGATGAGAACGTTACAACTTATGATGATAATCATGATATTAATATTACTAAGACAATTAACAAATTAAATGATAGTGTAGGTAAAGGCCGTGAGGCCTTCGAGAAGGCCGTGTCTCAGGTAAGTGAGTGGTTGAAAAAACATGGTGCGCAGGTGGAGGAGAGGACTGGAGATGTTACAAGGCACTTGGAGGCACTTAAACATGACATTAAACAACACAAGGAGAACATAGATGCTGACAGTGAAAAGAGTCTTATTATTCAAGTCGACGAGTGGAGTACTCGAGCCGGACAGTATATCCGTCATGTAGAGCAGGCCGATGAGGCCAGCAAAAAATTGGATCCACAACTCTCAGGTAGGTTAAATAATAACATTTCATTGCTGTTGCAGGCGACGAAGAGTTTTCTGAAGTCGGCGGGGAATGATGACTTGAAGGAAGTGTATGAGAAGGCGGAGAGCAAGATGACAAAGGTTATTGACTATCTTCGTCATAGATTTAATGGAAGAATCCAAGGAATTCAACATTATCTAAAGAAGGAGATTGACACACTGTTACATAAGCTCACAAAGGTGAGGAGCAATTTAAGGCTCTGAGTGATTCTGTACATGACGAACTGAACGCAGCTTTAATACGGTGCAGAGTGACATCACGGCACTTGTCCCGAAATATGAAAAGCATGTTGTTGCCAAGGTTAGCTCACTTAAAGAGGCATCTGAGGCTCTCGATGCCGCATTTTCAATTACAAAAAGTGCGCTTGAGAATACGATCGGACAAGTGTATCAAGACATGTTGAGGCTTGGAGGTCTAACGGAAATTGACACTATTAAGGGTGCGTACGACAGGAAAGTTACAGCCCCACTTTTAAAAGCAATTGGTAAAACAACCCTTCCAAAAACTTACGAAATATTTTAGTGATATTGATCAACAATTAATACAAAAAGTGAAGGAAGCCATGGACACGGTAGGTGAGTGTATGAAGAAAGTATTCCGTCCTGACGGAATGTATAATTTAAGCTACTTTTTACGAGATGCAGATGCGCAGCTTCAAAATGTTGCTAATGCCGCAGTCCCTGAAATCGATACTATCGAGAACCTTTGTGGCATGAAGATAGAGGTGAGGAGGCTTAATCTGACAGACACCGTATCTAAACATTCGCAATCCATTGGTTCGGTAAAGGATAAGATCCAAGGAGGTAATGGAAACCTAAATGGAGAAGAAGCAAAAACCCTTCTCACTGATCTTGGTGCTATAGCAGAAACTATCTCCAAGCACTCCCATAGAGTTTTACAAGAGGTGGTTAAATGTATTAAAAGCCAAGTGGAAAGTGATATTAGAGACGCCACGGAAGTTATTCAAAATAAAATTGGAGAATGTAGCCAACTTGTTACCGATGCTGGTAAGAGTGTAACACTCACGCAATTCAAAGGTATTAATGGTGTGGCCGAATCTGCGACGGGTTTACGGAAGTTGGTCGATGAGTTTAAAAGGCAGATTCATGATTCGCTTGGAACGCTTCAAGGGAGCGTTGGCAGAACTGAAACAGATCCTACGGGGAGCGTCTACAAGGATTTGAAGAAGCTACAAGAAAATGTTCGAAAGCTTGGTGAGAAAGTCAGTGGGGTTAAGACAAAGCTGGGGGCATTATGGAATGAGCTTCATGCTTGCATTGACGAAGCTACAAGAATTTATAAAGAAGCGCCTAATGAAGTTGAAGAAATCATGAATGCGTTACGTGACGAAGTTAACGACCAGATTAATGTGGGTTTCAAGGATGTTCAACGGGAAGCTGAAAGGCTCTACACTAACACGAAAAGAATGAACTCGCCCCCTCCAAAATATCGTCACCACTCAGCTCGCTGAAATCGAAAACATTATCACCCTGGACAGCATGTCCGGCGTGAAGGGATTAATGAACCTCATGGAAACTCAGAATGATAAGATTTTGATATTCTCATCGATGACAAATTTAATAATGCAACTAAAAATGTGAAAGAATATTTACATGAAATCCTTCTCTACACCTCCTCCCAGTCCCGCTCCCGCCAAGTCGACCGCCTCAAACAGCAACTGGACAAGTTACTCAGCCACCTAAAATTAGAGAATCCAAATAAACAATATCACTTCGACTACACGTTTACTACTGACCTAGCCGCACTTAACGACGCAATCACAGCACTAACTCCCAAGCAGTTCAACGGCCACAAACACCCTGAGCTGCTCGACGCGCTGACCGCTGGAGCGAAGCGACTGGCAGGCGAACTGGGCAAACAGTACGTGAACAGGTACAGCGGACTGAAGTGGGCAGACATTGGCGAGCCTGATAGAGAAAAGTGCGCTAAGGTGTTGCTCACCTCGCTGTACACTGTAAACACTAATGTAAATAAGTTACATAAATTTTGCGTTGTAAGATGTAAATTCAACAAAATAAACAAATCCACAGAACTGGGAATATTCCTATCCGAGCAAGGCTATGATGTTTCCAACAAAGACAAACAAAATGGTGAATTGCATGACGGCATTAGTATGACGGGCGGCAAAATTTACAAGAACCTCGAAAGCACAATCGACGACGCCGACCAAGATCTTCATCTGCCATCTTGTCAACCAAAAGCGCAAAACAAATTTAATGTTTTAGCCATACTTGAATGTCTTGTTACTCATCTAAATCAATACAATCAGGTCTCTCACATGTCAACATTATCCGCAAATAGGCATCCATGCTCTGTAAAGATATGTTGTCTTGGCTGTCCGGCCTCCCACATAATCACATCTACAACCAACTTAAAGATCACATTACAAATCTGTTTAAAGTACCAGATAAAAGTGATCCATCTAAGAAAATCCTTCAACCCATTGAGGCGCATCCCTCATCCTTTTCCGATGACAAAGTACATCGTGCAATTAAACGCGTGGCATCCCGCTGTCAGACTCTCATCTGCACCATTGCCGGTCATGGTGATGCCCTAACCACTTATGGCTGTGACTTCGCTAGTAACGCACTTCAATTACAGTATCCATCCAATCCTGCCGCGTGCTTTGATACGCTCGTTGACTTGCTTCGCCGACTCTACTCCCCACTTAAATTCCTACAAATACAATGCAAATACAGTGCCAGAGATTTCGGCTGGCGTGACTGCCAATACGGCAACGGCGTCGAGCCATCAAATTGGCAATGTAAGGACCACCAAGGGGCAAAGCAAATGAGCAACCAAATAGTAAACCTGCGTGCCGATCAGCGTGCCAACCAACCTGTGAACCTACGTGCCAGCCAACCTCTCCATTAATGTCTTACTTAAACGACTGCCTGCCGGGCCACTTGCCACATCAGTTAACTACAGTCGGCTGTAGCTACAAATGTGTCACCTGTTCATCTGGTTCACGTAATATGCCGTGTCTGATACCCCTTGGTTTCAGGATCTTTTCGGGAGTACCAAAACGGGTAAGGACATATGCCTGGTGCTTAATGATATGTGCGGAAGACATGGAGTGTTCACCAGCCTTTACTCCATGCTTACGTGCATTACCGTTCCACCACCTCAGACGTTATGTGACATTTTCACGTTCTATTGCTCACTCACGCAATCGTGGAAACCGATGCTGGATAGCCAAAATACGGAAGTGTTGCATCCGATCCAAAAGGCAATATGCAAACAAATCATAGACGGTGTTACCTGCAAATATAGTGATGCCGCAATGCTTCTTAGACCGTGCCGTCTACTGCATGAATCTTCGACACCTCACGCTCATACCATTGATGCGGAGTGGACTTGAAATATCTAACTGGCTGCAATGAAAATAGTTGCGGCGGTTTTATGCAGCCGTTAAATTACGCCGGTTACTCCACCCTGGCCCCGAAGTACGCCGACAAGTACTTGTCGTATTTGGTATATAGTTGCCCTCAGCTTCAAAAGTTCCTTGAGGAATTTAAGAAAGTGTTTTGCGACATATCATGTTACAACTCTGGTTGTTCGTCCTGTGTCAGCAGCGATGGCTGCAAAGTAGGCAAGCATGGCGCTGAAACATGTGAATGCAGATCAATCAAACATTGCAAAGGCGTAATGTCTGCATTCTATAAGTGTGGTTTCATGTATGCAGACGCCGTTTACAAAGGGACGAAGAAATGCCACATCCTTATTAAGGCAATTGAGAGTATATTGAAATCAAAGTTATTAAAGAATTTCCTCGAGGCAATTGACGATTTCATGTTCTGTGTCAGGAAGAATTTTATATGGACGCTATTAGCCCTCTGGTCCCTCTCCTTGCTTTACCTGCTGCACATCGCCGTCGTCCGCCTCGACGTCCTGAGGATACGCTCCCACCTGAGATCGCCCTCAAGCCACCGCATCGCCGCACAGTCGCTCGCTCCGTTGCAAAGGTTGGGAAAATTGCCAACGTCAAGTACTTCTCACCGTAATCGTGCCTTCACCCACCCACTCACTCACCCACCACCACCCACTCAACCACCCACCCACTCAACCACCCACCCACTCAACCACCAACTCACCCACCCACTCACTCACTCAACCACTCAACCACTCACTCCTAATGCACTCACTGCTCACCACTCATTCACCACCCATCCACACTCAACCACTCACCCACCTCCTCTTTCACTGGTCGCTTCGCTCCCTCCATCACCTTTCCCTCACCTCCTCCGTCGGCGTCCTTCGCCCAAATCCTCATTTTCCACTTTTCCCCTCCACCCCTAAAATCGCCTTATCCCAACCCATCTTCCTCTTTCATCGCCCTCTTTCGCCCCTTCACCTCCCTCGCCTTGTCCACCCACCTCCCTCACTGCCTCCTTGACCTAAAATCGCCCTTCCCCAAATTCCCTTAAATCGCCCTGAAAATGTGCCATTTCATCCCCCTTTACTTCTTCTAACTCTCTCTTAATCCTCCCTTAATCCAACTACAATGACCATTACAATGAAGTGCATTACCTTAGTGAGGACGCCAGAGGAAGAGCGTTGAAGGACATTGAGGAGAGGCAGGAGTCTCTTGAGAAGCTTAAAGAAAATCTTGAAATATTTACTGAGTCAGGGGAAGAATGTAAAAGCCTTTTAACAAATCTCACTGATGGTTTAGAAAAGTTCCTTGGTTTCAATTCAACTTCCAAAGGCTACACTGGCACTGGGATCGTGTACTCGGACCTTGACAGGCTGTGCGACGGGGTGATGTCTTTCCTTCATGGAGTTCTCCAGACTGTAAAAGATGATGAGAATGTTACGAAATACAATGAATACATTAAATTAAACGGTGACAATGATTTACATACTGTCCTTCAACATCTCCAATCTTCCATTGGCCAGGGACGCAGTGTATTTGGTGCGCAGGTTGAAAAGGTAAGTGGATGGCTTCAGAAATATTGGACGCAGGTGAATTCATTATCTACTGGAGTGACGCACGAATTAGGTCAGTTGAATGATATGTATATACATAATGAAATTAATTCTGTTTCAGGTACCGCGAGCAAGGATCTGACTACGCAGTTGGAAGAGTGGAAGAAGACGCTTGGCAAGATTTCCACTGAGCTCACAAACATAGAAACCTATAACATTAATATACTAGATCGTTCACTTAAATCACGATTAATGCATGAAATAAAACCGGTTCAGAAATCGGTCGAGGTGCTAGCAGACGCAGCCAATGATGCGACCTTCGGGGAGCAAGTTAACATGGTTGATGAGACGTTGAAAATTCAGCTAGCAAACGTTGAACAAGATATTAGAGACAAATCAGTGGACTGTCAACGTATGCTGAAGAATGCATTTTGGATGGTACTGGGACGAATTGATATTTTGAGTGAGCAACAAAGAAAGGAGTTTAAGGATATCCTAAGTGCCGTTGACTTTGCAAAATCCACATGACGGAATTTGACTGGCATTATAAAGCACATGTGCTCGGGAAAATTGATGAGATAAGAAATGAAGTTTCGTTTGTTTACGCAGATTTATTCAGCAGAAAGGTGCAGCTTGTAGATTTGGTTCAAAAGGCGCAGGCGGAGTTTGGGACTTTGAAAGAGAAGGTTGACGGAAGCGATAAAAGCTCACCGCCAAGTGCAGGTGTAATAGCGAATTGGGATGGGCTTAAAGTGCATATTAATCAAATTGTTGGAGGTTTGACGGCAACTAATGACATAAGGGCTGGAACGCTTAAAGATATCGTAAACGGCGTAATTGAGTACGCAACAGGGTTTGAAAAGGATGCTTTTACTGAGGACGTTTTGAAACAATGGATTGGGGAAATGGTGAAGGAAAGTGATACCGTAGTGAGTAATAAAATGTATGTTTATTATAATATGTATAGAGGTCAGCTGAAGGAATATAATGGTAAGACAGGCGCTGATGCTGTGAAGGAAGCCATTAAAGATAAACTTCCAGGTGTTATTAACACCGAAATTATAATGGCGGCACAAACAATCCATCTTAAAGATGCAACTGTGGAAAACATCGCTGAGAATTTCCAAAATTCGCGAATCAAATTGAAAGTGAACTTCCGCAAGAAAGCAATTCATCCATTAGCAAGGCAGTACAGGCCATTGAAGCTGTGCTAAAAAGTGGTGATCAAGCAACAAGAACCGATACGTATCTCACGGAGACCATTAAAGCCATTCTCAAATCTTTTGCGAATAGGTTTAAGCAATACGCTGCCGAACTTAAGAGATTCGTCACTGTGTCCAAACTCCACCCAAATCTGGAGGAGGCAATTAAGAAAGTCAACGAAATCGGACAAGAATTTGAAAACAATAAGGGAAAGTACGGACAATATATTACTGCAGCGTTGACAATAGTGAAACAAAAAATTAACGCGCTCGATGAAATAGTGAAGGAGTCAGACGGTACGCTTACAAATGCTGTCAACGAGCTGGACACCGTCATTGGTGAAATTAAAAAGCTTATAAAGGAAAGCGAGAGCAAAACCGATGATGGCGAAATAAACAAAAGGAAGAAAGATGTCGAAAAGAAAATGGAAGACCTGAAAGGGCAGCTCAACAGCAGAATCAAGGATGTCGAGTTAAAAGTTGACAACTCCAATAGCATTATAGACTCGGCCATTCAAGCCGTCAAACAATCCCTGCAGGATGCTCATGGAAATCCAACGATGCCGTAGAAACTCTCAAAAATAGCCTGCTTGCAAGAGCCGGTGACGCATTCAGAAGGGTTAGGGATGAAATCCAAAAATTATTTGCCGACGGCCATAAGGCTGACTTAACAGCATTGCAAAAATTAGTCACAAAACAAACAACCGAAATTAAGAACATCATACATGAGGATGAGATGACCGGAATAAAAGGCCTATTAAAAAGCGCAAATGGTATGCTGTTTGGTATAAATGGAGAGGGCATTCTAAAATTCCGCCAGCCAAAAACTACATTACTTGATGCCCTTAAAACTGCCGTGCCTACGGAGGCTGTGACAGATAAGAATTATGCAACAAAATTCTCGGAATCTTCGGACGCATTAAAATCATATTTAGACCAATTATTGCAGTATACTGAACTCCAAGTTAAGTTCGAAGGGGATCATAGATCCCCTACCAAGGAGTCCCAGTTGGTGTCGAGCATTAAGACCAGACTGGACACTTTACTTGACTACCTAATTAAAATTACTAATGAAAAAGATAAAGAAAGAAAATATGCTTTTGACCACAAATCCACCAGATACCTTACCGAGTTAAATGATTCCATCTCCGCCCTCTCCCCCTCTTCATTCCACGGCTTCCACAATCCGCTGCTTCTCGACGCCCTCAAGGCCGGCATGGACAAATTCACCGAGCAACTCGGACACGCGTACGTTAATAAATACTCCGGGATGAAGTTTAACGGTGATTTGTTAGAAGACAAAAAAGACGCTGAAACAAAAAAACCCTCCCCAACTGAGAAAGTCCTTTCCACCGAGGGCCGGAACTGCGCCAAGGTCTGCCTGACCATACTGGAGAGGGTATCTTATGATTTTTATAAAGTGAGAAAAACACGCAGTACTCTTGGTGCTAAATGGGAAAATCACAAACTTATTTTAGGTAATGATTTGGGTGAGTTTTTCAGGAAGCACGGCTTCGAAGTATCGAAAGATGGCGATACGCAAGACGGCGAATTGAAGGGGGACAAGACAGGCAAGGAATTGTATGATCTCCTTGTCAAGAATGATGAAAAACATGTCTATAAGGTGGAGGACAACAAAACAGATACCGGTCCAATGAGAGCTTTACATAAGCATCTCAAAGACTATTATCGTGTCTGCCAGGTCCGCCATATCCCGAATGCCAGGGCGCCAACTACCATATTTGGCATGATGCAATGGCTCGTCGGGCTTCAATGGCATCCGATGATTAAGAAACTGGAAGGCCAATTAAAGGAGCTATTCGACAAGCCTCAGGGACAAGAAGAAACGGATTACAAGGAAATTAATGCCGATAAGCTTGAACTCCCAGCCACTACGCCTTTCACAGCTAAACAACTGCATGACACGCTTGACGATATGTGCTATCACTCAGAAAAGATGCTCATCACCATCCTTGGCCACGGCCATCCTGATGGCCGTTACGCAGTTGACTTCAACACTAATGCAGATGATCTATTATATCCTAACAGGGCTAGTGCCTGTTTAGACATGCTTACAGATATTTTGAATAGACTTTTCTCTCAACTTTATTTCCTGCTTACACAGTGTTCACACAATACCGATTATAGCGGTTGGTCAAACTGCTCGTACGGTCAGGGTGTCGGCAACTCTGGATGGCAATGCAATGACAACCTATGCCCTAACCAACAGTGTAACCTAAGACCTAACCAAAACGCTGACCAAGCACCTAACCAAAAGTGCAACCAACACCCAAAGTGCGGTGTAAAATCGCCGCTTCAGTCGTACCTTGAGGATAGCCTCCCCGGCTTCCTGCCTCATACATTTTCCAATGTTGGCTGCGGAGTGAAATGCTCAGTTGGCAATCACTTTGGTAAACCGTGCCTAACACCAATGGGTTTTACTGATATTAGTGTTAAAGCGTCGCATACAAAGGAGGGTACGTACCTCCAAAAAGTGCTTGAGAAATTCTGTGGCAAAGCAGAGAGCCCACTCACCAAGCTCTGTAGCCAGCTAAATTGTCTCTCGCCTACCGCTCCAAAAACACTAGGCGATATGTTTAGTTTCTATCACAATTTCCTTAATGAGTGGAACACCAAGACGGAGCATAAGCGAGACGCGTTTGCAGCGGCAGTTAATAAAGCCAATTTCGAGAAGCGATACAAAAATTTCGATCCGGCTATAATGTTCGGTAGCCCTAAGCATTCACATAAACAAATGAATGCCGACCTCGGCAGCCTTGTCTGTAACTCGAGAACGACGCAAACGTGCGGTCCGTATTTGCAGTCGATTAATCATGACGTTATCGGCACATTCTCCAAGAATCACGCCGCCAAATACCTTTCATGGATCGTATACGCTACAGAAACATTTTATGACCTGCTCAAAAAATTATATGATGACTGCTGTGGTACGTGTGGCGGAGACTATCCAAAATGCCGAGTTGCTCGTGGTCAACATACATGCCACATTGCCAATCAGCAAGGCTCCGACAATGACAGTGACACATGTACCTCAATAGTTAGGTGCCAGCATACACGTCCGACAATATACACATATGGTTTTGTACATCATGACGTAGTAAGCCTTGCCGGTCAAAGAAGGAGAACTTGTAGAGATTTCTGCGACGCACTGAACAAGGTTCTTAACAAGGAAGAGCAAATGGGAGCGACGCTTGCGGAATTAATTTATAAAACAATTCCTGAATTCTTATTCAGAATTCGTGAACCTTTCATCTGGACACTGTTAGCCCTCTGGTCGCTGTCGCTCCTGTACCTGCTGCACATCGCCGTCGTCCGCCTCGACGTCCTGAGGATACGCTCCCATCTGCGCTCGCCCGCAAGCCACCGCATCGCCGCGCAGTCGCTCCTCGCCGCCGCACGCGTCAGGGCACTCGCCAACGTCAAGTACTTCTCACCATAATCGTGCCTTCACTCACCTACCCACTCAACCACCCACTCAACCACTCACCCACTCACTCACCCACTCAACCACCCACTCAACCACCCACTCAACCACTCACCCACTCACTCACCCACTCAACCACCCACTCAACTCATTCCACTCAACCTACCTACTTTTACTTACGCATTTACTTAACCTACTCTATTTCAATCCATCTATTTTAACCACTTTACTTAACTATATATTTCACTTACCACGTAATGCATTTCACGCATCGCATTTCATATATTTACTCTACTCTATCTATTTTACCGCATTTCTAATGCATTTACTTAATGACGCATTTCAATTCATTTCAATCAATGCATTTAATCTACCTATTTTAATTCTATTTCATTTACTCTAATTTAATGCATTTAACAATGCTTTAACCCATTTCTTAATTATTTCTTATATATTTCTAATCCATTTCACGACAGCTATTTACTTAAATCTACTTAAATTCATATATATATTTTACTACTTTAAATTCATATATTTAATGCATTTCAATCTACTTAAATCTTAATGTCGCATTTCAATCTTACTCTATTTCAACTACATTTACCTTAATTTCATTTCATTCTACTTACTTAATATTTACTTAATCTTAATATATATTTACTTACCGCATTTACTTCTAATGCATTTACTTACTCTATTAATCTAATTTATTTCTGCTTTTCATTTCATTTACTTACTGCATTTACTCTATTTCTTTCATTTATCATTTACTCATTTACTCCATTACTCTATCATTTAACTACTTAATTTATTTAATTTACTTGCATTTCATTTACTTCATTTAACGATTTACTTACTACATTCTTATATATTTTAATCTACTTTACTTCATTTAATGATTTAATTATCGCATTTAATAATTTATATATTTATATATTTACTTACTCATTTCTTGATATATATATTTCATTTATTTCTACTTATTTACTTACTTTAATTTTATATCGGATTTTATATTTACTTAAGCATTTTCATTTTGTTGCTTTTGTTTCTTTCTTCTGACATTTTCATTTTCTTCTTGTTAGGTTCTACTAGGTCTTTTTTCATTTCTTTTTTCTTTCCACTTTTATTGTTTTCTTTTATTCCATTTTTCTTTCATCGCCCTCTTTCGCCCCTTCACCTCCCTCACCCTGTCCACCCACCTCCCTCACTGCCTCCTTGACCTAAAATCGCCCTTCCCCAAATTCCCTTAAATCGCCCTGAAAATGTGCCATTTCATCCCCCTTTACTTCTTCTAACTCTCTCTTAATCCTCCCTTAATCCAACTACAATGACCATTATAATGAAGTTCATTACCTCACTGATGAAGCCAGAAATGAAGCCTTGGGGGATATAAAGGAGCGGCAGGAGAAACTTAGTGCTCTTAAGATAGAACTTCAGAAATTTGTTGGCACTGAAAAAGATGCAAATAACATTCCCGCAAAAGGTATTTTGGATAATCTTTGCACCGGCCTCGAGACCTTCCTCGGCTACGAGAAAGGGAATTACACCGGGAAAGGAATCGTGTACTCGGACCTTGACAGACTCTGTGATGGGGTGATGTCTTTCCTTCATGGAGTTCTTGAGAGTGTGAAGGATGATGAGAGCGTTACAACATACAATAAATACATTAAATTAAAAAACAATGATGATGATTTACATACTGTCCTTCAAATTCTCCAATCTTCAATTGGCCAGGGACGCAGTGTCTTTGGTGCGCAGGTTGAAAAGGTGAGTGGATGGCTTAAGAAATATTGGACGCAGGTAAATGACAAGACAGGCGACGTGAAGACTAAATTAGGTGAGTTAAGTAGTGATCTTAATATGGTTTCAGGTGAATTCGGGAAGTACGTCCAACGTAATCAAGGTGACACGCTGGAGGAGCAGTTAACGAAGTGGAACGCTATCGTGTCAGGCATCTCACATAAATTAGAAACTATTGACACTAAAGTTAATTTGTTAGATAGCACACTTAAGTCACAAATAACGCACAAAGTAGAGCCGATTAAAGCATCGGTTAGGACCTATGTCGACGCTGCTAGCAATGATGCCTTAGCGTGGCAGGTGAAAGTAGTCGATGGATTGTTGGTGAATCAACGAGAATATCTTGAGAGAGAGATTGAACAACATTATCTCGTCGTTAAAAAAACGTTTGAGGAGGCGTTGTGGAATATTCGTGTAGGTGTCAATTCATTGGAAGATAAAAGGAAAGAACAGATTAGCCATTTGAACAAGGCAGTCGGGGATGCCCAGCAATATGTCAATAAGGATCTGGGAGTTAGCGTTGGGAGTACTCGAAATCAGATATATGAGAAGTTTGATGAGATCAAAAAACAGGTCAATAACGTTTATGTTAGATTAGTGCACAAAAAGGGAGAGCTTGACAAGCTGGTGGATCAGGCTAAGACGGAGTTTGCGACTTTGAAAAGAACGGTAGGAAAGATGGAGGATAAGGGAAATGATACGATAAATGGCCATTTGGCGCTGCTTATAGAAGAGATAGAGAAGCTTGTTGATGGCTTGACGAATAAAAAAAAGGCCACGACACCGGGAAATCTTCACAATATTGTTCAGAACGTGAGTGATTGTGCTGGCAAGTTCACTAAGTCGAATTTTGAAAATAGAGTTTTGGATGTGTGGATAGATGGGATTTTGGGCACTGAACCGGTAAAGGGTTTACTTGATGGTTATTTTGAAGCGAATAAAGAAAAGAATGGTGCGCTACATGGACAATACACATCGTGGCAGAAGGGTGAAAATAATAGGATTGTTATGGAACACCTAAGGAACCGAATTAAGGAAAAACTTACGGAGGAAATTAATAAAAGCAAAGAAGCGGCCAAAGACACAACCCGAGACAAAATTCAAGACAACATTGAAGATGTCAATGGTGTCTGCGATGCATTTTCCAAGGAACTTGGGAAGCAAATTACCAGCAAGGTGCATACTGTACGGTCGCATGTCGAAAAAGCGCTTGTGAGCGATGTGGACAAATCGCAGAAGAGTTCAGATCTCTATCGCGCCATACAACTTACTGTATACCAACTTGTTGGAGTAGGTAGGCAGACGGGCAATGAACTACAACGATTCAGCATAGAGTTTAATCTTAACGACAATGTTAATAGAGCTATAAGTAGCGTCGACAAAATCGGTGGGCAATTTAAAGACAAAGGTGGAAGCAATAATAGTCACGGAGAAAAATAGGAGCAGCATTGGCAATAGTTGAACTAAGAATTCAGGAGCTCCACAAATTGCTGGAAGATAATGCATCGGACCAACAAGGTTTGATTCAGGCGAAGCTCAAAACAATTGCCACCACCCTTGACGACCTCCATGACACTAAAAAGAATGAGACGGGAGGGAAGATTAACAAGGAGAGGGATGATGCCGACGATCTTATGTCCAAGTTGAAGAAGGAATTGCAGGATAAGCTTGACAACATATCCTACTTTATTGATATCGCCGATTCCGCATTAGAAACGGCCATACGTCTTGTCAAAGATGCATTGATAGAGCCTACGAACAGATCAAACAAGCAACTACAACCCTCAGAACCAAAATAACACATGCCGTCAAGGAAGCCTTCCGCCTCCTCAAAACGCAGATCCAAAAATTGGTTTCCGACCAACAAATTGCAGACCTATCAGCTTTGCAAGAATTAGTACGAAAGCAATTGGACGATGTAAAACGTATAATTGATGATGACCTTGCAAACGGCGTCAAGGGGTTACTGGTGTGGATGCACGATCACAGAAGTGATTTAGACGCTGTGGCAACTCAAAGAAATTTCAATGAGTTGTGCAAAGTTCAAGGATTACTTTATTCCTATTCAAAACTATATTAAATACCAACTCATCCCCAAGCCCCCGACTCCTCTCCTCCTCCAGTCCCACCTCCAATCTCCGGCGGCGGTTACAGAGCGCGGCCGGCAACGGCCACAAAGTCGCAAAAAGCGCAAGATGCTCCCCAACCTGGCGGACGTGTAGGATACATCGGTCCAGTTCAGCCTCCCTCCCTCCCCACCAACCAACCATCTCCCTCCCGTCCTCCAAGAATCCCATTGAAAAGTTTTTCGACGAACTTGATCTGCATACCCGGCAACTTTTTAGCGCACTTCACAACGGTTGCTCTAACTACTCCACTGTATATAAATGTGACGCATTCACCAACTTCCTCGACTCCATGCGTCCTACAAAGTTCGCCGAGCACGACAGTCCCCTACTAGACGTCCTGAAGTCAGGCCTCCAGTCTCGGGGAGATTGGCAAGGCGTACGTTAACCTGTACGAGGGGCATCCACCAATGGACTTTGCGTGGGAAGCTGATGGGAAGAATTGCGCTAAGACATTTTTCACCCTTCTCAACATCGTCTACGAAGACATGGCCACGCTGAAGAAGAGGTGCGAGGACGCCACGAAATACGGCTGGAAGAACAAGAAAATATGCAAGACGCAGAAGGGCACAGGAAATTCACTCGGCGCTTTCTTCGAGAGGTGCGGCTACAGGATCCCCAGTGAGGACAACGGCAAGCAGGACGCCGAGCTGCAGTGCAAGGAAAGTATGAAGGGATCAGATCTGCTGGTAAAATTGGCTGAATCATTAACCGATACGTATAATAACGCACATCTTAATACGTGCGTAAAAGAAAAGCACCATGAAGGTCAAAAAGCAAAAACATTATATGATCTCTTCGACCTTCTCGATTGCCTGCTCAGCCACTTCAACGAGTACAATGAAGTCTGTCACTACTCTACATTATCCGCAACTAAATCACCGTGTAGCATATTCGAAATTCTAGTTTGGATGTCAGGGCTCCCGCATCATCCCGTATTTACAGATATGCGTGACGTGGCCGTGACAGACTTATTCGAGGACCCAAAGAAGAAGATGAAAGAAGTAATTGACGGCGTTGAAATGGAAGTAACAGACATGAGCACCGTGCCCATAAAAGCACACCCGAACAGCATAACATTCAATCATACGCAAGCCGCAGTGACGCATATGTGCTCACAGGCGTACGATCTTCTCGTTTGCATCCTCGGCACCGGGGACGCCGAGACCATTTACGGTGTTGACTTCTGCACCAACTCACTTAAGTTGAAATACCCTAATAGAGGTGCCGATTGCCTTCAGATGTTCCTTGAAATTCTCCGTAGACTGTTGCCAACACTCAGATATCTGGAAACCATGTGCAGCTATCCCGCTAGCATCGGCGGTTGGTCACAGTGCCGTTACGGCAAAGATGTGAAGCCAGCCAAATGGCCGTGTGACGAGCATCCTAAGCCCGAACCAAGAGGCCAACCAAAGGGCCAGGCAACGTGCCAGGCAAACACCGAACCAAACTGCCAACCAAAATCCCTCTACAAAGCTACTTAAACGATTGCCTACCCGGCCATTTGCCTCACCGACTGGAGTCAGTCGGCTGTAAAGCCGAATGCAAAACGTGTCCCACATCTCAACGTGGTTCACCTTGTGTAACACCTCTCGGATTTAAGACATTCTCTGGCAGCATGAGAAGGGGTAGGGACATATGTGACATCCTTGCCAAATTGCTTGATGATGACCATATTAGATCTATCCTCTGCCTTGTCACCAAGCCGCCAGCCTCTTTGCCTGAACACTTCCAGTTCACATTAGCGCTTGTTAAGGGATGGCATAATGACGCAAATTACGTTAAGGACGTTATACAAACAAATATCGAAAACTCCGCCAAGGAGGTATCTATCCATCTATATAACGAAACATCGAAACTCACAGATGCATTGCGTAATGCGTACCGTAATAAGCATAGCACATATGGCGAGAAGAATCATCTACCTGCATACGCAGACGTTTCTAGTTTAGCAATGCCGTCAGCATGTATTGACCGTAACCAAGAGGTATACTGCGCTCCGTATCTGTCATCGCTCTATAGGGACTATTACATCTGTCTACCATTTAAGAATTCTAACACGTATTTGTCCTGGGCCATATACCTCCCATGGACATTTTGGGATCTACTCAACAATTTATATAACGCTTTCTGTGAAATCACTTGTGCAGATTGGGGATGCCGTGGATGTCTTAGGGGAGACAAGTGCAAGAGTGGCAAGCATGGTGTCGTTGAAGATGAGAAGAAAGCAGACGCCGTGTGTCAGTGTTCTTCAATAGTAGCCTGCAAAGGCGTGGCACCGACGCTCTACCAGTATGGATTCACGTTTGGTGAGGCGTCGACGTTGAATGGTGGTAAGACGGCGAAGAAGTGTTCCGATTTCTGTACTCAATTACATAATGTGCTGCACTCCACATATTTCGACAAATTATTTGAGCAATGTGACATGTTCCTCTGGAAAATCAGAGAACCATTCTCCCTGACATTGGTCGCCCTCTGGTCGCTCTCGCTCCTGTACCTGCTGCACATCGCCGTCGTCCGCCTCGACTTACTCCGCATACGCTCCCACCTGAGATCACCCTCGCTACCGTGACGCGCAGTCGTTCGCCTGCATCGCGTCAGGCACTTCAGTACTTTCAACATAATCAGCCTTCACGAGGATCTGTGTATCACTCACCTACTCAACCACTACCCAATTCACCCACTCAACCACTCAACTACCTAGACTTACTTCACTTCACCTACTTCCACTCGCCTACTCACCTACTCAACTACTCAACCACTCAACTACCTACTCTCAACTTTTCACTCCACTCACACTCCACTCAACTACTCAACTACCTACTCTTACTTCACCTACTTACCTACCTAACTACCTACTCACCCCATATACTTCACTTCAACTTACTAACCACTCCATTTAACCACTCTACTAACCACTTTACTGTACTTACTCAACCACTTCACTTAACCCACTCAACTACTTACTCACCTAATTCCAACCACTCACCCATTCTCCCTGCCTCCTTGACCTAAAATCGTCTTTTCCCTAAATCTCCCTAAATCGCCCTGGAAAAGCCTAAATAATCCTTCAATATATCTCTAACTTTTCACTTTCCTCTTCTTAGTCTCTCTGGTCGCTTTGCTCCTCTACTTGCTGATTATCACTGTCGTCCGCTCTGATGTTCTGAGGATATGCCTCCCACTCTAAATCACCTGCAAGTTACTGTATCGTTGCGTAGTCTCTTCTCCTTGCTGCTGCACGCGTCAAGGTATTCTTCCGTTGCATTTTCACTGTATCAGCCACGTGTGATCTAGGGACACGACTTCACTCCACTCCACTTCACTTATATTTAATTCATTTCTTATATATTTACTTACTCTACTTACTTACTCTACTCCATTTAATACTTCTACTTACTCTAATTTACTTTACATACTCTAATGCATTCTTACTCATGCATTTACTTCTACATTTACTAATTTAATGCATTTACTTACTACTTTAATTTAATAATTTTATTTACTTACTTATATATTTACTTAATGCATTTCATTTACCCATTTCCATTTATCTTACTTACTTAATCATTTATTTACTTAATTCATTTAATTTAATTCATTTTACTTAATTGTTTACCATTTACTTATCTAATCTACTTACTTAATTCTATTTCTAATGATTTATCATTTCAATTCATTTACTTAATTTTACTTATTTAATTCATTTACTTAATTTATTTTCTTCTTTTACTTATTTACTTCATCTAAATTTACATTTAAATTTATATTTAAATCTACTTTACTTAAATCTATTTACCCACTTTATTTCAACTTTACTTACTCTACTCTACTCTAATTCACTTACTCTACTCTAATTCAATCTTACTTACTTAATGCATTTACCTATTTTAACTACTTCAATTCATTTTATTTACTGCATTACCATTTCAACGCAATTTTATTTACTAACTACTTCATTCAATCTACTTCATCATTTAACTAATGACATTTGCTAATTTACTTATCATTTTTTCATTGTTGCTTTGCTCTTTCCATTACTCTTCGACATTTCTTCTTCTGTTCTGAGGTTCTACTCTAATTTCAACGCATTTACTCATTTAAACTACTTCACCATTTACTTACTTCCATCTACCTAACTAATTCTTTAATTCATTTAAATTCATTTAATTTACTTCATTTACTAATTTACTCTAACTACTCTTACTTGAATCTACTTCAATACCCATCGCATTTACTTATATTTTACCATTTCAATTTAGCATTTATTTAATGATTAATTTAGACATTTAACATTCATTTAATTTATCGCATTTAATTCATCGATTTATAATTTATTTATTTACATTTTTTGAGCATTGTTGTTTGTTTTTCCATTTTTCGACATTTTCTTCTTGTTGAGGTTCTTAATGATTTAACGACATTTAACTTTACTTACTTAATTCACGACTTACTTAATCTTAATTTTACTCTATTTAATGATATTTATTTACTTTACTACTGATTTTAACGCATTTAATTTTCATTTAACTATTAACATGAACCATTTACTAATTCATTTTACTTATTGAGTTACTGTTTGTTTTTTCGACATTTTCGACATTTCTTCATTGAGGTCTTTACTAAATTTTTTCCATTTTTTCTTTTCCTCAATCGTTTACATCAACCCATCTTCCCCCTTCATCGCCCTCTTTCGCCCCTTCACCTCCCTCACCCTGTCCACCCACCTCCCTCCCTCCCTCGCTGCCTCCTTGACCTAATTTGACCTTTCCCCAAATTCCCCCAAATCGCCCTGAAAATGTGCCTAAAATAATCCTTCAACAATATTATTAAATAACCTCTGCACAGGCCTCGAAAAATTTCTCGGCTACGAGAAAGGGAATTACACCGGTGAAGGCATCGTGTACTCCGACCTTGACAGGCTGTGCGACGGGGTGATGTCTTTCCTTCATGGAGTTCTTGAGAGTGTGAAGGATGATGAGAACGTTACAACTTATGATGATAATCATGATATTACTATTACCAATTAACAAATTAAATGATAGTGTAGGTAAAGGCCGTGAGGCCTTCGGGAACGCCGTGACTCAGGTAAGTGGGTGGTTGAAAAATCATGCTGCGCAGGTGGAGGGGAAGACGGGAGAAGTGACTACGGAATTAGGTGAGTTGATTGGTAAATTATCATCTGATGCAGGTGGACAATACTTTCAAGAGGTGAAGAACCGTGGAGGCGAGGGCCTGGAGAAGCAACTCAACAAGTGGAAGACAACGATCCAGAGGATCGAGGAGGACGTCACGGACATAGAAAAACAACAAATTAATATACTAGATAAATCACTTAGCACACGAATAATGAATGAATATATGCCTGTGAAAAAGTGGTTGCGCACTTAGGGGCTGTTGCCACGAACCCGGCATTCGGCCCAGCTGTGAAGGCTGTAGATAGTGAGTTTATGAAACAGGAAGAGCATGTAACTCAGGAAATACAGGCAAAATCTGCAGTGCTCAGAGATGCAGACTACTAAATTCGACCTTATAGATAAAAGCATCCGTGCCGTTGAGAAAACGCAGAAAGTTGATTTGAAGCGCTTAATGGAACTGGTGGGTGAGTTGGCGGTGGCAGTTGGAGAGGCTGATAAAGTGTCAGGAACGCTGGTGAGAGATTATCAGCGTATGATTGTTGAGAATTTGGAGAGTATTAATGAGCACGTTCAACCTCTTGCAACGGAGACCATTGCTAATGAACTCAACAAGTGTACAAAAGTATTACCTCAGAATTGGTAGTGCTTGATGATCAGTTAAGGACAATCAGCGTTGGCCAGAAAGTTACGGGACTGGTGGAGAATAAGTTGGCTTATATTGAATCTGAGTTGAGCGAAAAATAAAGGTACTTAAGGGGGATATTAGGAATAATGTTGAGGAATATTCGAGAACTTATATTGGCAGCGTTATGCAGCAAATTGGTCTTATCAACGAGAAGGTTGGTGAACCAATGGACGGGCACCGATCCGAAGAATAACCATATACCACAATTGGGAGGTGCTTGATGCAAGAACAACGGGGCTTATTAAGCGTATTAACGGCAGGAACAGATTACAATGGTCTTAAGGGATCCAACATAGGGTAAAGGGGTATGCTGGAAATTTCACCAGGAAGAAGTTTCAGAGCAGTATTTTGACAGGATGGATTGAAAGGATTCTGCGAAATAATGGGATAGTCAAAAGTGGCTTGGTACATATCTCACAAGAAATCAGAAGCATAGTAGTAAATTTAGTACTACGGATACGGATCTCCTCCTGAACGGTAAGACAGAAACATTGCATAAACCTATAAAGGAACAGATTATGGCAAAGCTTCAGCACGCCGGTGTTATTGACCGCTAATGTTGAACCGAAGGAGGATATTATAACCAATGTAATCGCTGTTAAAAGCGCTTGTAACAATTAACGCGCGCTTGATGAGAAAATGAAGTGGAGAAATTCAGGCTTCTGAAATCGCCAACACCATCGCGCCAATACTGAAGAATGTTCTTGAAATTAAAATTCGGAATCCACCGAAGTGGACAAAATACAGCTGAATACGCCGTTCAGGCCGCTATAGCTGCCCTGTCTGCGACCGCAAGACAAAACGCCAAAACAATTTGGTCATTCACTACTAAGAAAACAAATGGATCTAACATGTTTGATTTCAACCTAGGCTTTAATCTAGAAGCAGCTAGCGCAAGTAGACCAAATTAAAGAGATACACGGCGGCGACGCAGACAATGGCGTTGAGCCAGGAGATAAAATTACCAAGGCGTGAAAGCAAAAGATTGAGACGCTATTAGAGAATCTTACGGATGCGACTAAAAAATCGTTTGCTCCTATTACTTCGTTTCTCCAACCAAGGCCGTGGCACTCCACAAAATCGATGCCAGGGTCCAACATAACGTTGATCCGGTCGACTTCGACACTCCACTAAAAGCCCTGCTGAACAGATCAGCCAAAGAGGTGTCAACATGTTAGACACTGAGATTAAACAAATCCTGAATGGACAACTTGGCACTGTTAAACCTAACATAGAAGGGAAATTAATACCCTGAAAAGAGATCACACCGGCGCCACGTCAGGTGAAATTCAACAAAAAATTAGCGAACTTCAGGACAAAATCACGAGGCTCATATCGTCCGTCGGTAATGTTAACAATAAAGCTAAAAGTGAAATAAAATCCCAGGTGACGTCTGTGCAAAAGCAAGTCGGCAACCTTAAAGAGGACATTACGAAAATTAACTTACAAATCACAGCGTTTAATGCTCTTCAAAAGGTCATCGAAGAAGCACAGTCTACTGTCGATGACGCCCGCGAGACCCTGCAACGCCAAATCAATGAAACGCAAACTGCGCTCACCGAAGCAGCCGAACAAGCCTTCAAAGAGGTGTACACGAAGGTAAAATCCACGTTCGCCGAAGGCCATCTGGCCGACTTGGAAGCGCTCCATAAATTAGTCACCGACCAAAAAACTCAAATCGATAAAATAATTGCCAAAGACAATAGAAAAGGCCTGAAAGGTTTCGACAAATTATTACGTACAGTGCTAGATCACGAAAAGGATTTAATATCGAAATCCAAAGTGACTGCAGAAGAACATAAATTGTCAAAGAAATAAAAGAATTCCTTCATGTGTTCTTCACGTCTGTATATATCCAAAATGATTTTGTGGAATTCTGAATCATCATTTAATCCCATCGTGGAAAGTACGCATGATATGCTTCAACAGCTTGAAGAATCTAAGCGCCGATCACACTTTTATCAAAAACCTGACAATCTTAATCTCGCACTGCATAACTTGAACCTAAGAAATTCTCTGAGCCGTGTTCCATATTGCTTGATGCCTTGAAAGATGGGCTCAATGCCCTGGCCTCTCAGCTAGGCTATGCGTATGTTAGCAGCTATGATGGCGCCCGCCTATAGCTAGTTGGGAGTACCGCGACCGTAAATCTAAAAACTCACCAACTGAGGAAGCCAAAATGTGCGCCAAGGTTTATCTGCGTGCAAATGTTGTTGGACAACCTCAGTGAGCTGCGGACAACTGTGGCAGTAAAGACATCTGGCAAAACAAGACAATCTCTTTGACCGAAACCGGGACGCATGGAAATATTATCACTAATCCTCTGGAAGCTTTTTCCAGCGCTGCGGTTACCGCGTTTCCTCTGCTCCGAACAAGCACACGGGGAGTTGCGGAATACCAGCCTGCAGGGCAGGGATATTAACGGCAAGTTGAATGAGCAAATTAATAGCAAAGATTATCTAATTAGAGACGAAGACTTGAAGAAAGAAAAGCCCTTAAACAAGGATGAGGAGACAGATGACAAGAAGTCTCCAAAGCAACATGGCATCCTCAAGCAGCTGTTCGACCACCTCCATCAATATTACACCGTTTGCCACTACTCCACATTACAGTCCAAGACATATCCATCCTCTGTCTGCGACATGCTCAAATGGCTCTGTGGCCTCACTCACAATCCCGTGTATGCCGATTTGTCAGTCAACGGCTATGATAAGCTGTTAGAGCAATATCAGGAGAAAGAGAGGAGAACGACGACGCTGATGAAGGTCCCACAGTTGCCGTCCTCAATGACCTGTCGTTGGAAGCCTATCCACATCCAATAGCAGTGTCAAATCTATCAGATGCCCTTCAGGACGTCTGCCATTATTCCTACGACGTCCTCACTGGTGTCCTTGGCTTCGGCCATGATGACGGCGTGTACGCGTGTGACTACAACATCAACCAGGGAGGCCTGTCATATCCGACGAACATGGACACTTTACTGTGCATGATATGCGATGTCATCAACCGCGTGTACCGTCAGCTTCTTTTGTTCCAGCAGTGTAGGTACGATAGTACGCTCAGCGGCTGGGCGGACTGCTGGTATGGTAATGGAGTCGGGGGGTCAGCATGGAAGTGTAACCCAGTGCCCTGGTCAAGGGGGACCAAAGTGCTACCCAAAAGCACAACCAAAAGTGTAACCAAAAGTGTGAGCAACGTGTTATGTGCGTGAAATCGCCACTCAATCATTCCTGGAAGATGGGTTGCAGGGCCTCCCTCACAGCCTCAAGTCTGAGAGGGGAAAACTTGAGTGTTCACTTAAAAGCCATGGCGGTGTGCCGTGCATAACGCCTATGGGCTTTGCAGGAATTGATTAGCGTCACACAGGCGAACAGGACACCCATGGAAGTGCTTGCTGACTTCTGCGGCAATCAAAAGTCTCCGCTCACTAAGATATGCAGCCTGTTCAACTGCGTTCTCCTAGTCCGCCGAAATCGCTGAGTGATATGTTCGGCTTTTACTACAGTTTGCTTGTGGGTGGGAAGACAGCAGTAAACGCGAGAACCGCAGCACAGGGAGACGGCGTTTAACAATGCGGTCAGCGGCGCCGATTTCGATAACCCATCCACCACACTGGACATCACTGATATGTTCAAAAGCAGCAATCATATTCTTCGAAGCCCGCCGATCAGACTACTACCCACCTCACCGGTGATCTGTATGCTCTTGTCAACTGCGCCGATGCAAAATCGCACACTCCATCGCATCCCTGTGGACCGTATCTCAAACCTTTGTGCAGTGACATATGTACTATGTTCTCAGCAAAGCACAAGTACGTGTCGTGGATTGTCTTCTTGACTGAGTCTTTCTACGACTTGCTCAAGAGACTGTTGGAGGACTGCGAGAAGACGTGCGGCGCTGAAGCTAGAGATGCAAAATTGGCAAATGCAGTGAGGTGCAAGACAAAGAAGTTGCCGTATGGTAAAGACTCCAAACATGACAAATCATGTAGATCCATTGTGGAATGTACTATATTCGTCCGACATTCTACAAATATGGATTCACACGAGAGCGTCAGCAGCCTCAGTGGTGTAGCAGGAGTAGAAGGTAAGAGGACCTGCGCAGATTTCTGCAATTTTGAAGATAGTGACAGGCGAAAAGAAGACACTGCATACCATCGTGTTCGAGAAAATTACAGGATTTTGTAGGATTAGGGAGAAATTTTGGACTCTCCTAGCCCTCTGGTCGCTCTCGCTCCTGCACCTGCTGCACATCGCCGTCGTCCGCCTCGACGTCCTGAGGATCCGCTCACACCTGAGATCACCAAGCCACCGCATCGCCGCACAGTCCCTGCTCGCCGCCGCACGCGTCAGGGCACTCGGCACAAGTACTTTCACCATATCGCGCCTTCACGTGTGATCTGTGTATCACCCACTCAACTACT